TTTCGCGGGCGCTCTCGAGCGCACGGGCTGATGCACCTGTCTGCGGTGCCAGCAAGGGGGCGCGGCTCTACGCCCACGTGAATAAAAGGCTCATACCGCTGTAAGTGGGGCCGAAAACCGACACCCGTTAGATGATTAGCTCAATGGAGGGGACCCAATCACGGTGGCATGACAGTTCAACTCCTGAGCAACTTAAACTGGCATGAGATCTACACAGACAGACGGCACTCAGGAGTTTAACGAGCTACTTCCAGCAAGTGGCAGCCGCGCGGCGAGGACGAGGATGGCCCCAAGACCCCCAAGACCCAAGGGCGAGAGGGCCGCGGGTCCTGCCCCAAGGGAGGGACGCGGCTTGAGGGCCGCTGCTTGAGGGCCGCTGGTCGAGAGCCGCTGGTTGAGGGCCTCGGCTGCTAACGGAGAGACGCTGCTTGAGGGCCGCGGGCCCCGCCCCAAGAAGCCAGCCCTAGAGCTACAGGCAACTGCAGGCGGGGCGAGTTGACGGATGCCACCTGGAGGTTAGTGCTAGGACGATGGCCCGGGGCAGCAATGAGAAGCACACCGCGTTTCAAGTCCACCTCCCACCCCCATCGCCCCAACGTCGTCGCTACCTCCCCCAGAAGACGGTCGTCGCCATCAGCGCCGTCGCTCGGCGACACGGGCAGCGCGAGAATGCATAGGGAGGAGCGCTGGGGGAGGAGGAGGAGGAGGAGGAGGAGGAGGAGGAGGAGGAGAGGGGGTTAGGACGGCGGGAAGTGTTAGAATGCAAAGGCGGGTGACAATGAGACGAAGATGCAATCGAAGCGGGCGGCGGCGGCGCTCCTCCAGCCCGATGTGGTCAGGCAGGAACTTCTCGCCCAACGTTGCAGGCGGCCGAGCGCGCGCGCTGGCGCGGGCCCTTGGCACCCTATCCAACCTATCCAAAGCGGCTGCGCACTGAATGAGCCTACAAGGGCCCCTAAGTTCGCGCTTCGCGCTGCGCGAAGCGCGAAGCGCAAATAACTTCGCGCCGCCTCCCACCCCAGGGGAGAAGAGGAGGGCGAGGAGGAGGACGAGGAACGAGGACCGCGAAGCGCGAAGCGCGACTAACTTCGCGCCCTCGTGGGAGCCCTTGGCCTAGTTGCGGCATTCGCCACGGGCGCGCGAAGGAGAGCGGCGCAAGATGAGAAGCCACATCAATAGCGAATCAGACCTGACCCTTGACAAGCTCAACAAGCGATTGCATCACGACCGTGTCCTGCGAGGAATCCATAATTTCCCGCCCCATTTCAAGCGCGTGCCCTCGATGCGACTTCGCCAGTCCGATAGCCCCTGGGCCCTGCCGTACCAATATCACCAGCTTCCCCGAGCTACGACATCGCTCACTTCCATCCCTCATCTCCGCATCCCATCCCGCACACCCTCTGTTCCCTCCCAGTCGCCATTCGCCCATTTGCACCACTCCATCCCTGCCCCCCCAACCCCCCCGCCCCGCCCCTCCCGACTGCCCATGCACTTCCCCGCAACCCTCACAACCCCGTTGGCGCCCTCACGCACCCACCTCATCTCGGCGCGCGATCCTTTCAGCGGGTGCATGCGGCGGCCGAGGGCTGCCGGCTGCCCGATGTCCAAATGTTTCCCCGTGCTGCAGGCTACTCCGGAACTGCAGCTGCAACTGCATGTCAGCGCGTCAGTCAGAATACATATGTACATATATATATATATATATATCAGTCAACGCACAATCGAGGGGCAACGTCGCCGAGGCTGTAGCTGGCTGGGGCCTGATCGACCGCCCCTTGAAAACTGGGGTCCGACAAAATGACAAGGCTCTGATCTAATGCGAGGCGCGCCCGCCCCCACCACACCACCGCGCCCCTAACAGAAGGCTGAAATCCCAGGACAGCCTTCGGACCCTGGTGGCCGGCGGCGCTGCCCCCCAAAACGCAAAGGTCAGGCACTGCCCTGCGCTCGCCAGCAAGCTCTCTGCGACTCAGGGCATGTCTGCGTGCGTGCGTGCGCGTGTCTGTCCTCTGTCCGCGTGTGCGCGCGTGAGTCTGGGCGCGCGTGCGCGCGCGACGCCACCGCCCAGGGCGCCGAATCGCGCGCCCTGCACACGCCCGAGTGCGCAGCGCCCACCTCACCGACTGGGCGGAAACTGCGGAGAGGGAGGCGAGGCGAGAGCTGCTGGAAGGGCCAAGGCATGGGCGAGGCGAGAGCTGCTCGAAGGGCCAAGCATGCCTGCACTTCCCTGGTAGCAGCAAGCATGCAGCACGCTCCACTCTAACGACCCCTTCCCCCTCCCCCTTCTCCATTCTCCATTATCCCCCCTCCTGGCCGCCTGCCATTCCACCCGCGCCCTCACAGGGCGCGCAATACACACAAGACATGACCTACTGGCGCACGAACGCGCAGCCAACGAAAGGATGCTGGCAGCAAGCGGGGGCCCAAACGCCGTGGGCGTACTTGGACCCGTCGGTCACCACGGTCAGCCCGCCGCGCAAGGGGTAGCACTCGTCCTCGATGCACCACCAGGCCAGCTCGCTCAGCGGCGTCTTCGCGTGCTGGTTGAAGGCGTACTGGCTCGGGCCCTTGTCGTTCATGTCCACCCCCGCCCCCCCCCCTCCCTCCCCGCGCGCAATGTAGAATAGATAAAGAGAGATAGCGAGATATAGGGGGAGAGGGGGGGAGTGGGAGAGAGGGGGCGAGGGAGAGGGAAACAGAGGGGCAAAGAGAAATGGAGAGAGAGAGAGAGAGAGAGAGAGAGAGAGAGAGAGAGAGAGAGAGAGAGAGAGAGAGAGAGAGAGAGCGTGTGAAAGTGATACATATATACGTATATATACAGCCTGGCAGGCAGATAGGCAGACAGACAGACGGAGAGAATGCGAGAGGCACAGATGGAGAGCGAGAGAGATCCAGACGGAGAGAGGAGGCGCAAGAGAAAATGAGATAGCGATAGAGAGGGGGGCAGAGAAAGCGGGGGATGATGGGTGGCCCAGAGGAAGGGGACAGCGGCCAGGAAAATGCTGAGGAGAGCCCGCAATCCATTTCCGGTTCCCCTGCTGCCCGCTCCGCCTTCCCGCTGCTCTTCCCTGGCCCGCCCAGGTTGCGCCCCGCGCATCCTCCTCCTCCAAAGCGGCCAGTCCACGCCCCCCTCATCCTCCTCCCCCATGCTCGCCTGCGCGCGAGGAATGTCGATCAGGACGCCCGCGATGATGTTTGCCGAGAAGGCGGGGGCAGAGGAGGACGAGGAGGAGGAGTACGACGACGAGGACGAGGAGGAGAATGAGGAGGAGGGCGACGATGACGAGAAGGAGGAGCAATGGAGATTGAACCTCATCGACTGCGGGGACACCCGCTTCGTCGAACGCGGCGCCCCACCTGAGGCAGTCGATCTCCGTCTGCACCTCGTCCAACCTGCTCGCCAGATATCCGATGGAGTCACCAGCCACCTCCACTGGGGCCTGGCGCTCAAACGGGGAGATCTGACGAGCGGGCTGGAAGAGGCAGAGAGGGGGGCGACAGCGAGGCCCCCAAGAAATGCGCATTGGGGGAAAGAAGGGAAGAGGGGACAGAAGATACCACGGGGAGAGGGCGGGGCAGGGGGTGAAGGAAGAGGGGAAGGGCGGATCAAGAGACGGGTGGAAGTTGTTTCTGCTGCCCCTGCTCGAGCCCTCTCCTCTCGCCCCCTGCTTACACCTCCTCTTCGGCATATTGGATTCTCCCGCCGTCGTCAGTTCCATTGCAGTCATATAAGTTTCTCATCCCCCTATACCTCCTGGCATTCTTCTCGCCCCCTCGCTTCGCCCCCCCATCGCCCGTCGGCCTCTGCTGCTGCCGTAGCCCGCGCAGCCTCCCCCCAGTCCCGGCGCATGCAGCACTTCGCGCAGCGCAGGCAGCCCGAGCGGCCAGTCTTGCACACCTCGGGTCACGGGCGACGGACGGCCAGCGCTGCGCCCACCAATCGTAGGGCGGTGGCCATACACTGTCTCTCGCTCTCTCTCCCCACAACTGCTTCTGGCTCTCATCCGCTGGCTCTCATGCGCGCAGATACGCATACGCATATATGCATATGTACATGCGCTAGATACATGCGTGCGCGCGCGTATGTCTGCAGAGCCGCGCGCGGCGCACACTCTATATATACATATATATATATATATATATATATATATATATATATACATATATACATATATACATATATATACACATGTCATCGTCACATATATATATATGTCCTGGTTTGCCATGGCACTGTCCGCCACGCCCAAATCCAAACTCGCGTTCTGGCGATCGGGGCTCTGTCTGTGCGCGTGTGCGTGCCTCTCTCTCTCTCTCTCTCTCTCTCTCTCTCTCTCTCGCTCTCTCTCTCTCTCTCTCTCTCTCTCTCTCTCTCTCTTTCTCTCTCTGTCTGTCTCTCCCTATCCCTCCCTTCCTCGCCCCCTCCCCCCCGTCTACCCTCCTTCATGATGCTCCCTCCCTCTCCTCGCATATGTATAAGTATGTAAGTATGGGCGCGCTCCGCTTGGACCCAGACTCACCTGGCTCGGGGCCTCGCGGCGACGAGGGCCCAATGCAGCGCGCCGAGAACCGCGCAGGGCTCGGGGGGCCCGCGCCCCAGGGGCCCCAGAGGCAAGCCATAATCCCAAGCCAAATCCAGCACGCGCGCACGACCAAGAAGGCCGCTCTCAAGCTGACCCACGGCCCGCGACGCCCATCCACACCCCTTTTCTCGCACATATCTTTCTCCCCCATCCTGCCTCCAACCCGCGGCGCAAGAGAAGCAAAGGCGGTTGCGGCCTGACACGTGTCGCGGCAGGACAGCACGCCGAGCTGGCGCGCCACGGGCAGCGGTGGCGCGTGATCCGCGGCGAGCAGCGCCGCGACGTAGCCCACGGTGAAGAAGGCGTTCGTGCCGGACGCGCACTCCCCGAGCAAACGCCGGCCCCCGCTGCGCCCGCCCCAATGAACAATGATTTTCATGCACTCGATATCGAACCTAGCTCCCTAAGCACCCACCTACAAGAAGCAATGCCCCCACCCCCGCCCGCCCCCGACCCCAGCCCCCATAAGGCCCTACTCGGGTCGCACTCCGTCACCCCCTCGCCCCCCGCCCCCGCCCCGCCTGCCATGGAGCCCGTCCACGTGGCGCAGGGGGCCGAGATGCTGGAGACCGACGCGCTGTGGTGGCGCAGCGTGAGCGGGTGCCTGCACGGGCTGCCCTGGGAGCGCCTCCGCCGCGCGGGGCCCGCCCCCCCCAGACCACAACTCGACTCCCCCCTCCCATCCTGATTATCCATGTTTCCTCATGAGCTTGTCTTGACGTCCCTATGTCATCCGTTTCTTGATTCCTACTCACTACTACGGGCCGCCCCCGATGCCCTCGGGGCTATTCGTCGTTGTCGTCCTATTCCTTCTCCTCCTCCTCCTCCTCCTCCTTATCCTCCTTCTCCTCTTCGTTTGCGGCCCATGGCCCAACTCGAATCCCCATCCGCCCATCGCCCTCGCCGCTTTCCCCCCCGAGTCGGCCCAACCCCCTCGCGACCCCCCCCGCGCCCGCCCCCGCGGGGTGGCGCCGCCGAAGGGGGAACGCGCGATGGACGACGGAGGATAGCTCGGGGCATGGAGGGCCCCAGGAGGACGAGGACGAGGGGGGCAACGACGAGGGCTTCGGAGGGAGAAGAGAAGAGCGGCCGTAGAATGAGGGGAAAACCCCGCCGCCCTTTTCGCGCCCATGGGCCCCCCTTCCCACTCCTCGCCCTCCGCCCCATCATCTCCCGTCGTATCCTCAAGGACAGATGCCACCCCTCACCCCCCTCACAGATCTATCTTGCCTTACCCCCCCCCCCCCCCTCCCTCGCTCTGATCCCGCGCACCAGGGACACGCGCGCCCTCCCGCCCCCCGAAGGCCCGCGCCCGGACGACGGCAGGGTTCTGAACGAGGCCGTACTCGCCCTGGAAGATGCACCACTCCCCCGGGAGCGGGGGCAACCATCGCCTTGTTACTCCTCACCCCACCCCCCTGCCCGCCGCTCGTCGCTGCACTTCCCTGTCGTCCTCGCCGCCGCCCCAACCCCGATCACCATGGCCATCGCATCGCCAATCCAAGCCGCCATCATCACCCCTATCGTGACCATCGTCGTCACCATGATCTTCGTCGTCGCCGTTGTCGCCGCCATCATGCGCTATATCTCGTCACCGAACATTGCGCGAGACACGCATGCACAACATAATCAAATAATCTCAAGATGTAGGAAACAGACCCGTCTCCCCCGCCCCCCCGCCACCCCCGCCACCTCTTCCTGCTCCCCCCCCCCCTTCCCTCCTCATCTTCCTCTTCCTCCTCGGCCTTATCCTCGTCATCATCAGCATCGTCAGCATCGTCGTCATCGCCCTCCCCATCCTCGTCATCATGCGCTAAACTACTGCACAGCAACATGCATCGCATCGCAATGTCAAGGCGCATCATGTCCAGCTGCACAGCTCTCCTTCTCTCTCTCTCTCTCTCTCTCTCTCTCTCTCTCTCGCCCTACTTCTACCTCTACATCTACATGTGCCTGTACCTCTATGTCTCTCTCTATATATGCATTGCTCTTTTTCGCTTTATCTTTCTCTCTCTCTCTCTCTCTCTCTCTCTCTCTCTCTCTCTCTCTCTCTCTCTCTCTCTCTCTCTCTCTCTCTCTCTCTCTCTCTCCTCTCCTCCTCCGCCCCGCGGGCTCTTCCCCCCCCCCCCCCCCCCCCCCCCCCTGCGCCAGACCTCCGAGCCCTTGTAGTACTTGCCGAACCTGTCCTTGCCAATGCCCCACATAGCACCTCCCCCCCCGGGCGGGCTGGGGGTGGAGAAGGGGGGCGAGGCAGCCGCGCGGGTAGACGGTGGAGAGGGGGGCCAGACAGCCACGCGGGTAGACGGTGCACGAACGTGCAAAGCGACAAGGGGTGGAAAGGGAGGGCGAGGCAGTCACGCGGGTAGACGGCGGAGAAGCATGAGCAAGGGAACGAACGCAGCCGCGTGAGGCAAGGCGCGAAGGCGGAGGTAAGGTAAGGGAGATATATTGCGGGGGCTCCCCATCATCACTACCCACTGGGACTGGGCCCCACTGCTACCGTTACCCCCCCCCCCGCCGCCCTTCCAATTCCAACCCCCTTGTTGCCCTTTCTCCTCCGCCTCCGCTGATGCCAGGGGCCCCCTTCCCGAGGCGCCCTGATGAAGGTTGCGGCACTCCGTCACCGCCGATCTCTCGCACAGGTGGACCATCTGCTTCAAGAACTCCTGGCGCGGCGGGGGCGAGCGGGGGCTGGGAGGGGGAAGTCTCGGGAGGGGCAGGGTGGACGCAATGCTGGAGGAGAAATGTGAATGTGCGAAGGAGCTGGAGGGATCGCGAGGATCAGAGGGGGCCAGGACCAGAAAGGGGAGGATCGGAGCAAGCTGGACCAGCAGGAGGAAGGCAACAAGAGGACGAGGGAGGAGGAAGACGAGGAAGGAAGACCGCGAGTCGGGATCGTTGGGGCGGGCGGTGCTCCACCTGATACCCCTCCTGCCGCTTGGTCACCCCTCCTCCTGACCCGCGCCATCTCTCCTGCTCCCGTCTCCTGCTGGCTGATCGATCCATCTCTCCTCCTCCTCCTCCTCCTCCCCCTGACTCCCCAGTCCTTCGCCGCATTGTCCAGCGGGCCAACGACCCACGACACGTCGAGCGGCCGGTCATTGTCGTCGACGCCAGGCGAGCCGTAGGGGCCCGTCACCGCGTACTGAGGGGCCCGACGGGCGCGCCATCCCGATGCTCATTATCATCCTCGTCCTCGCTCTCATGCCGCTCATGCCCCCTGATTCTCCTCGCCCTCCTCATTATCATGATCATCCTCGTCCTCGCTATTGCCTTCCTCCTTATCATCACCCTCCTCCATGCCGACCCCCATGATCATCCTCGTCGTCGTCCTCGCCCTCATCATGGCCACCGTCCGCACTCCGACCCCGCCCCCGCGATCCCCGCAACTGCGTTCATCATCGTGGCCATGGCCGCCACCACCCCCGCTGCCATACGCGAGCTCCTTATCACCCCCCCTCTCCAGTCCCACCCCCCCCCCACCCCCCCCCCCCTCTGCACAAAAAGCGGCGCCGTGAGAGACTTAGCCATGTAGCCCGCGGGGTTGGACCACATGACAGGAATGTTGCATATGCAGTTGGTGCCCTGCTGCGCGTCGCCACGGCGGCCGCATGCGCGGGCCCCCTCTTTGCTCAGCCTGGAGGGGGGCGCGGGCCACTGGGAGGGAGGATCAGTTCAAGGAGGATGCCCAATATGAGGAGGAGTAGTGGATCATGAGGAACCCGATCGCTTGGAGGACCGCCAGGGCGCCAGGATGCGGCGACGAAAAGCATGGGAGTGGAGATGGAGAGGGGGCGGGGCGAGGAGGAGGGATGATCATGATAAGGAGGGAGGGCCGATGACCA